CAAATTACTCAATTTATCCCCAGGATGTTCCTCTTGATATAAATAGAGATCTCCTCGTTGAACTTCCTGCCAGCCACTGAGGTCAGAAATGGGAATTCAGAGGGACAGCGTCAGTTTGGACTGTGCCTTCTGGTATTGTGGTTTTGCAAGACACTGTTAGATTTTGGGGAACTCAATGCAGTCACAGCCAGAGAGTGCCTCCTGAACACGATCCGCTGTCTCTTTATTATACTGGGTTTTTGCTCTAAGGAGCAAGAGCGCACAGCTCGGCAGGATTTGCTTTGCTCCACAGTAGAACATCTGCTGGGTTCATGAGAGTCTTGTGACCTGCCCAGCATGCAGAGGATTCAGCTTTGCGGTAACAAGCAACTCTCCCTCGACGCTGTTCCAGTGGGGTGGGGGTGACTATTTCAGAACATTTCCTGGGCCGGAGCAGGGCCAGCACATGGGCTTGGGGTCAGAAGGTGCAAGTTCACTGACACGGGTGGAGTTGCTCTCTCCTTGCACCAACTCTGAATATGACCCAGCGTAGCTGGAAATCTGAAATCTAAAGGACGAACAGCTTTTCTTTCTTCCCTTAGCGTATACTTGAGGCTCAGCAGCCAGATGGACTCGCTGAGCTGTCGGCATGGCAGATTAGACGGGAAAGGGAGATAAGGGAACACCAGGCTGACTTCCCCTGGAGCAACGAAGCAATAAATGGAGCTGGAGTCCAGCTGCCCTCCAAGAAAAGGCCTTTGCTGTCATCCTCTGTAAAGCCGCCTGCCTAGATGGGGCCTCTGAACTTTCTGCCCCCCCCCCCCCCCCCCCCCGTCGGTGCTTCATCCCCCACTTCCTCCGTGTGGCCAAATTCCTCCTTATTCCTGCTGCGACCAGGACCTGCCTCAACTCCTGCAATGCCAGCCTGAGGGCTTCATCAGATGCTGCTCTGCAGCTGGGATGTCTCAGCCACTCCAGGAAGCCAGGCCGGTTCCAAACGTAGGTCCTGTCGCTCCACTCACTTCCTCAACCTCCCCCACGCATGGAGGGAGCGGGGCTGTTTAAGGGCAGCCCAAGGAGGAGGTAACAAGGATCCCCCCTGCCTGGCCCAAGGACTATCACATTGGACGCTTCCACACGGAAGCAGCTGAAGTCTGTGACACCTTCTGTCAGGCCCGGAGGAGCAGATTACTCAATAGGGGTCTACGCGCCCTGCAGCGGACACGTCTGGTCCGGGTAAGCAGTAACTGCAGGAGGCATGGAAGCCATCCCATGTGCTGCGGCAGCACTAGGCTGACGCGCCACTTAAATCCCACGTAAGGGCTCGAGCCTGCGAGGTGCTGGGCAGAAAACTGCTCCAAGTTCAGGGTATGCTTAAGAGCTTTGCTGGATCGAGGCCAGAATGCACCGCACCTCCCGGGATCCAGCCTGGAGGATCTCGTAGGCCCTGCGCTGAGTCTCTGCACTGGCATGAACCTGACCCAGAAAAGGGCTGAAAATCACTTTAAATCTGACCCCTGCCCAAGCTGAAGGCTCAGCCTTGCTGAGCCGGGAACCCGGCTGCCGTTTCTGCTGCACTCTCCGGTAGGCCTGCTCCAGAGGCTAGCTCCTTCCTCCCTGGAACAATTTCCTCCTGCTGGATGGCGCAGAAGATTTTCCACCATTCTGTTCTGTAGTGAGTATGGTGCTGGGTCCGGGGGTGTGCTGAGGTCCCTGCAGCCTGGACTCCTCGTTGCACAGAGGAGGGACAAAGCAGGCGGAGAGAGGGCGTGCCCCTGCTAGTCCTGATCCCTGCCTCAGAGAGACCCTCTCCAAAGGGCCAGGGGAGCTGAGTCACTACAGCCCCATCAGCCACAGGTCAGGTGGGAACGACTTTCACCAACTCCCAGCCAGGGCTGGATTTGAACGGGTCCCCCAGTGCTGTAAGATTTCCATTGAGCGCAGACAGCTTTATCACAGGTTCCCACTGTGCTTAGAGCTACTTACGCCCTTCTCCCTCAACCTACTCCTCGCAGGACTCGTGTGAAAACATCTTGGGGTCAGAAGCAGAGCTGATCGTGAGTCCTTGTTTCCCCCTGAGGCTCTGCAGACTTTCAACGAGACCAGGAAAGCCCCTGCACAAATACGCACACACACGGCAAATTGCTCAAGAGCTTAGTGTGATCCTATCTCAGCCAGGTGTGGAGCAACTGTCTCTGCTGAGCGAAGGGACCTCGCAGAGGTGAGCCCACCACCAAAGACCTTCCTGCCAGAAGGGCAGTGGAATGTCACCAGCTCATGCTGCAGGCGGAGATGGTGTTTCAAGCAAACACAGGGGAAAGGAATTTTCAAAAGTTTCATTTAAAAACAAAACAACAACATGACAACAGGACACGTGCCTGGGGGAGGTGGGAGGGCCAGCCAAGGAGCATAAGGAACAGACTGGGTCAGTTTAGCTGCTGGCTCTGATTGCTCAGAAAAGGAACATGGGCAAAAATGGCTGTTAATAGCATCAGCAAAACCATCTTCTACTGTAACCTGGCATTCTAGCCCCGGAGAGAGAGGGGCTAAAGCTGGGATTTTAAGGAGTCCATGGGAGTTTGGGGCTTGAATCCCAAAGTTAGTGGGAGTTGGGAGCCTACCCCCCTCCATCTTTGAAAATCTTCCCCTAAATAAGCAGCAATAATCACCTGCACTTCCATAGCATAGAAGTAAAGTAATTTACAAGAGGACGGTCAGTGTCGCCCCCTCTGCCTAGGAGAGGGGGAATGAGGCACAGTGAGGTTCAGAATCCAGTCGTGTTCTCAAAATCAGAGGCCTAAAGGTGCCTAAGTAGCCACACGAGTGCAGCTTCATTTTCAGCTGTGCTGAGCACTCAGAGCTCCCGGGGAAGTGAAGATTTCAGTGAGTAACTTTAATAGGTTACACAGCCCGAAGGAACCACTGTGATGATCTAGTCTGACCTCCTGCATAGCACGGGACAGAGCACAGCCCTGGAGTCATTCCCCTTTTGGCCGACATGTTTGCAAAGTTTGGTCTAACTGACTTGCCCATGTTCACCCAGCAAACCGGGGCAGAGTCCGGAACAGATCTCAGGTCTTCTGTCTCTGTACTCAGCCCGTTAGACCACAACGTTTCCTCTTCAAAGAGGTGATTCACCAAGTCTTTGTATTTCTAACATCTACTATTCCATCAAGTCAGAGATGTGAAAGACCTACTAGGACAGGTCAAGTCCGTCTCCCAGCAAGTCAGGACAGAGTCTCCAATGGAGGATGCAAAATTGGGATTGGCTCTCTTTCATGCTGTCCTCCAAGCACCATCGACTCACTTTCTCAGCTGCCCTATGGGCGTCCATTCACATGCTGCATCCCCATTGAATCCCATGGGCCATCACTGCAAACACCAGTCCAGATTCTTCCTTACAGCTGGCTGGCAAATTATTCCCCCCCCGAAAAGTTTTAATGAAAAAATAATAATAGTTTTTGACAAAAAAATGTGTAATTGAAAATTTTCATATGAAATCCAAAAATTTAAAACCAACCTTGTGCTGGGAGGGTGCGGGGAGAGAAATGTGAAAATCTCCATTTAGTTGAAAAAGCCATTTTCCAATGGAAAAAAGGTTTAAATGGAAATTTTTTGCAACCAGCTACTGGAAGAGGCCCCTGAAATTCCCTGATGGTTAAGGGGCAAAGGAGGAGGAGATTAGAAGCCTGAGACATTATTATATAAGTATCACATAACCGAGGCCAGGGCTCGCCTGCAGATTGACCTTGACATTAGTAAGCTAACAAGAGACATTATGCAATGAGCAAAGCAGGACTGACAACAAAACCTGGATAGATGACAGCTGACGGATTCCTTGTACCCTTAGATGCTCTTTTCTGTGTTTAAACTCATAAAATTACTCTCCAAAGCTACTTTATTGCGATTGATTCTGGGAGCAAAACCCAATTGATTTTGGTCGAAATGAAGCATTTTAAAAACGTCTCTTTATAATAGAGATGAATGGAGCCTTGTGGGATTGATCTCGGCTGCATCCCTGTTTCAAAAGATGTGTGTCTCCTTGGTCAGCGTCAGAGCCCGCCTCCCTCTGCAGCAACGGACCCACTGAGCGCTCTCATCCAGAGTTTTGCAAACGTGCGACCCTTCCGGCTAAGAGTGACACGTGCACAAACTGGCGGGGGCAGTGTCTCGCTCAGAAGACCCCTTTGGCAACCCAGGAAATTAGCGGGCTGGTGCGGAGAGCGGTGAACCTGTGATTGGTAGCGAACAGAACAATAAGGGCTCTGCACGAGAAGGGATTTACAGGACGATGGGATTAATGAGAACAAGGCAGCCTGGCTCAGTGGGTAGGGCACTGAGTTGGGACACAGGAGATCTGGGTTCTGTCCCCTGCTCTGCCATTAATGTGCTCTGTGACCGTGAACAAGTCATGCTGCCTGTTGCCCTTTCTGGGACCCATTCAATACCATCTGGCACAGAACTTTGCCAGTCACGGGTAAAGGCAAACGGGCACCTTCGGTCTGGGCACCAGGTATCTGATTCAGCCAAGTGTGTATTCATGTGGGGGTCAGGCTTTCACAAGGGTCCAGCTCCCATTGCTCTTGGCAGGAGCTGCTGGACTGTCAATCTGGCCCAAACTGTGGGAGTTTAGTGCTTCTGAAAACAGCGGGTGCCCAGAGGCCAAACCCTGCCGGGAAGGGAGCCCAGCTCCCTCCAAAGCCAGATTCCCAGCATCTCCCAGGAGTGATGCCCTGAGTCCATCTGTGCTCACCTAGAGCGACTGGCATCATGGCCCAACGAACAGTTATTCCCTGGCCAACGTGCTCCTTTTCACCACACCCTCATTTTTGGAATATTCCTTCCCCACTCCCTGAACATGGGAAGCACTTGACGGGGTTACGTTGTGAGCAGGGACGGGTTGTCTGTCCTTGCTGGCATCCCGCCCCCCCCTGCACCCGTGGGCTGCTGTGTTTCAGATGCGGAAGCACGGATCTCCCCCATTCCAGCCTGAAAGGTCTTTGAGCCCCGCAATAACTCACCGTGTTGAAGTTGGGGAACAGGTTGAGCGGGGACGTCCCATTGAGTCTAAAGGTCAGGAAGTGCTTGATGTCCAGTGGCGGGTGTAGGGGTCGCCCAGGAATAGACAGCGATGCTAGGAGGGGGCTGCTGTGCCCAGATGGTCCTATACAGCGAGGGAAGGAGACATAACGTTGAGATTTTTCTTAATTAAATCACCTGGAAAAGGGCAAATGCAGACTCTGAAACTTTGAATTAAAATGGTGTTTTGGTGTTTTGTTTTAAATACATGAAATTACATGATACTGACATGAAGAGGGAATTTTTGTGCCTTGAATTGGTTCAAAGTGTCCCACAGGGAAACGGAAACATTTCAAACCACGGTCTTTTTGTTTTAAGTTTCTCATGTTAAAATCCCAGTTTTCCCACCTAGCTCTAGTAACCTTCACAATGCCCACCGAGAAATCCTGGGGCCTCTCCCCCTCCAAGGGGATTCTGAGTAGGCACAGGGGAGTGCTCTCGCATACCCTCTGCAGGCTGGGGCCTCTGATTGTAGGCTGCTTGGGGCGGGGGCCTGGACTTCTTTTGAGTCTTATCCAACTCCGAGCACACGGACACTTAAAACTCTAGAGCCAACACGGTAAGAAAAGCAATGGAGATGCAGAGGCAGTAGCTAGACTTGCGAGTCACAGAGGAGGAGGGAGGTATATGTCCCCTGGCTAGGAGGTTATGCTAAGATTGTCAAAGGAGTTTGACTTCCAGTGGGTTTTGAATGCCTCATCTGAGCTTTAGGCACTGGGGAACAGCCTCAGTTCTCCTCCGCCACTAGCTAGGGTTAGAAATACAGCTGATGGTGTGCGCCTGCTGCCTCTCCCCACCAGCCCTCCCTGATGGGTTATTAGCGTCCATAATAGAAACAGCCACATCCCGAGCCCCACGAACCAGCTCCCCAGGCTGCTGCACGCCCTCCCCAGCAAATTAACGGTGAGCACTGGTGTGTGATCTAAAAATAATCTAAAGTAAATAAAATTTTTTTTGTAGGAACTGGGGAAAACCGAATAGGTTCTAAGCAGCCAGAGGCTCTTCTGGAACCTGAGAGGAACTGGATTTCAATAACCAGATCTGAGCTGAAAGACGAATGTCACATGGCATCAAAATCAAAGTCACTGCCCCTCACCCATTGAATCTGCTTTTCCTCCCTTTGCTTCGCCTGCTACTTTCGTTCCTTTTCAGCAGCTGTAAGGCGGAGGTTCTGAGTGCGGCTTAAGGCACAGTGCACGGGACCTCCCCATGCCACCCTGGTGGGAGGCTTTGCTGTGAATACAGCTGGAGCAGGGCTGGTAATTCCACTTACTCCTTGTGTGGCTGCTCAGCCCAGAGAGCACCTGGGTTTGAGCACGAAAGGGGAAGGGGCATGAAGACTTTAAGGAGCCCGGATTTCCAAACTCTGTGCAGATGAGCTAAGGGAACTGACCCCAGGAGTTATGGACAACTGATGTAACAGAGCCGCTGGGCCTGAGCCTCAGTGCCGTGGCTGCTATGCTGGGGGCATGGGCTGAGATGACGTCTTCCCGCCCTCTGCCCTGGCTGCTGTAAGTCAGAGCAGTGTCAGGGCTGCTCTAACATCGCTCTGCTTCCCTGGAGGCCCGATAACAGCGATCACACAGTTCTCTCCTGCCACGTCCCTGAGCTGCGCCCTAGGCCAGCGGTGGGGAGCAGGGCAGATGTACAGCCCTGATGCCACCAGGGGAGCCCCCCTGTGCAGAGATGATTCTCAGGCCCCCCCTTTGCAAGGTCCCTTCAAACACCCGAGCTGCTCTGGCAGCAAAGAGGGGTCACATCGTTAGCCAGGATCCGGCTCCCTGATGCCAAGGGGTGAGGCAGGCAGGGCTCGGTCAAAGCAACCTGGGAACTTCACTCTCCTAAACACACAGGGGGCCCCTCCAGGCTCAGTGCTGGGGAGTCCCTTGGGCAAAGCGTTCCCCGCAGGGTGTGGATCCAGGCCAAGGCACCCCGCCCCACATACACCCCCCACCTATGGGGCTGTGTGGGGAGCCCTTTGCACCTTGGACAGGATCCCTGCTCTGGTCCCACATGGTCCAGTGTGGGAGAGGAGGAGGTTGGCAGAGACACATTCAAGTGAGTTCAGGGGCCCTCGGTGAAGGGGCTGAGGCCTCCGTTCCAGGCTATCAGCTGGAAGAGCCGCTGCAGAGAGGCTGCAGGGGAGCCCCCCAAGACTGCACAGCCAGTCTGGACACGGCAGGAGAGGATGCCACCCTCCAAGCTGGGCAGGGATGCCCATTCAGCCCTATTCTGAACATCTGCACAGGCTCCTGGGAGTGCTGGCTCTTTGGGTGGAGCTTATTTTGTGGGCAGAGCTTGGAAGAACACTGTTGCTCTCCCCATTCGACCCCTGGGTGGGGATTAGGAAGAAATTTCCCCTTTTGGGCAGGTCACTCCATAACCGCCCAGCAGGGGATCTTGCACCTTCCTTTCCCCAGCTGGTGCCGGCCACTGTCAGAGAGCAGGGACTGAAGTGACTGGACCATGGACCTGTTCCACTATGGAAATTCCCATGTGCCCATCTTGCTTATCAAGGAATAAGTGCCCACTGACCCTCTCGGCAGGAAAGCGCAGCGTCTACCTTTCCCCTTTAGGGTTAGTTTATTTTAGGCCTCCTGTCTCCAATGCTTCTTGGACGATAACTTTGAAAACTCCTCAGCTGATGAAGGCATGCTGGCTTGTTACCGTGGAGTGCTACATTTATTGTTGCCATAAACCCCACCGTTCACTGCAGAAGTGAAAACGTTACGAGCGCTGTCCTGCCCCGCGTGCTCGCTGAGATACAGCGAATCAAGCTGGCTGCATCGTCCCCGGGCTGGGCCACAGATAACTAGAGGGGAGGCAGGAGCTGACAACCAGCTTTAAATCACACAAAGACGCTCAGAGAGTTCAGAGACATTCCAATATAACAAGACACATTTCTGTCCTAAAGAGGTTCCAGTGGCTTTAAATGAATCTCCAGAATCACAGCCATGCCATTAACAAAGCCATACAATGAGCTTGGCACGGCTGCTGTATTTGCATAACAGCAGAACTATGACTGACAGCATGGAAGCTCATCAGAAGCTTAACAGTGGGGTCTGGACGAGGTCTTATCTTTGCAGCTCTGCTTGCAAAAAGTCTCGTCCTTCCAGAGAAAGGAAGTGGGTTTTGAACACCGCGTTCAGCTTTGGTCGCCCCATTTCAAAGAAGACGCATTGGGCTACTTCTCCAACCTGTAAGGCCGCGGAGAAGCTCTGGGTCTGCTACAGGAACACAAACCTTTTCCCTCACCCGAAAGAACTGTGACGGAGCAGAACGTGCGGTAACTAGACCACTACCCCCCACCCCATGTTCTCATAGAGCACGGCTCATCCACTATCTCCCAGCGCTTTCCGGAGGGGGCAGTAACGCTATCCCCATTTTACAGCTGGGAAAAACACAGGCACAAAGACATGAAACGCTTCACCTGAGGTTCCCCAGCAGGCTAGCACGCGAGCTGGGAACAAGACCCACATCTCTACCCACTGCCTCTCCATTATTACTGGGACGGCAGCAGGCGCGGGAGTGCTCCTCAAAGGCACAAGTGGCAGCGAGGCATTTAAATCTCATTGGTGAGATCCTGGCCCCGCTGAAATTAACGGCAAAACACCCATTGACTTCAGCCGGGCCAGGATTTCACTTGTGTCTTTCGTACTCCCCCTCCAGAGTCACTTCAGACCCGAAGACTCCACTCCAGCATCCCATGCCTGTTCAGAGACGCACTTAAGCATGTGCCTAATTGTTCTGCCAAATCAGGGCCTTCACCTGACACCGGCCGTTCTTTCCATGTATTTCAGATTCCTCACTGGCAACAGCCTGGCGTATTGGGGAGCCAAGAGGAAAATCTGAAATTCCAAGTTCGCAAGATTGTTGAATTTCAGAATAAAAAGCGTGACACACTGGCCCTCCAGGCAAAAGTGACCTCTTTCTGGGAGAATGCACATATTCATTTCTTTCTCTTTATAGGCGCTATCCCTGAGTCAGTTCTAACTCCAGGGTAAAAATTACAGTTTGCTTCATCAGGCGTGCATTGATCGAATTAATTCCAAAGTCACCCAGGAGGGAAATCTGGGAAACAGCTTAAAAATAAACAAATAAATAAATAAATAAATGGAAAGGAGAGAAGAAAAAGGCAAAACCCAGCAAAAAATGGGTGAACGGCACATAATGAACGTTCTGGGGTGTGAAACGGTATTTCTGCATCGCATCGTCTGAGCTGGCGTGGCACAGCATCCGGCCGGATCGGTGCCCCCTAGGGAGGCCCCCGCATCCCACCCTTTTACATGCTATTATAATACTAGACCAGAAAGCAGCATCAGTGTGACTGGATTCGGGACTGGGCTGCGAGGGCATCTGCTCACCTTTGTCTGTAAACTTCAAAATGGTTTTTTTTCTGCTTTGTTATTTGTAAAGAACGTTGACATTCACCTGGTGAGGAATGATGCCGGTGAATTGGCTCTGCCTCTGTCGACGGTTAACGAGCTAATCAGTGACTGCAGCTCTGCAGCGCTGGTGAAACGTGGCAGCTGCTAGCTCGGCGCCCCTGACGTGTGGGGCCGGGAGCGTCGTTATTGCCACAAGAAGAGTGCTCGTAACTAAGCTACAGACAGTCGCATGGTTTGGTGGGGACAATTTTCAGAAAAGAACTCCCTGGGAAAACCCACAGTAACAGGCACGTTCTGTCTGCGAGCAATAACGACGGGCAACACTTACATTTGTGCTGAACCTTAAGCCTGGGCTTCAGTGCTTGGCTGAATCAGGGACTTGGTTCTCGTTTCCCAGAGGGGGACTGGTACCTAGGTGATTCTTAGTATACTAGACCTACCCTAGATCAAGACCTCATTGTGCTGGGTGTGATACAAATACATACGAGATTGTCCCTCACCCTCGAGCCGTCCAAGGCAGACAAACAGTGGGAGAAAAGCTGAGTATGAATATTCTTATCCCCATTTTGCAGAGCTGGGAACTGAGCCACACAGAGTTAAGGGACTTGTCCAAGGTCACACAGCAAGTCTGTGGCAGAGCTAGGAACAGACTCCAGACTTCCTCCCCGATCTCAGTGCAGCATCTTCCACACAAGAT